TTTTTTTTTTTTTTTTTTTTTTTTTTTTTTTTTTTTTTTTTTTTTTTTCTTTCTTTCGCCACATTACACTGATCCCCGTTGAAAACTTTCCCGACGCTCATTTGAAATGCAGATGTAACGACGTATGACGTATACGTCGGTGCAATTTCATCTGTTATGCTATTTAGATTTCATGGAACGGAGTATTTCGGTGTAATAGAGACGTGGTCATAGTCGACGCGCCGCGTGGCCAGAGTTTCGCCCCGCGAATGTGTTTCCCAGCATGTGCTGGCAGAATGTGTTTCTAGCGGAGTGACGATCGGTTACAAGGTTTAATTATTCGGATTAACTTCCGAATTGTTTGGAGTATGGCGGGGGATTGTTAAATACAGTTGCTCGTGAAAGTATTCGAACGTTTGCGAGAATTGTTTGCGGATATACAGGCTGTCCCATTTGGACGGTGTTCCGCGCAATTATCTCCGAAGCTGTTCGTAGAAAAATGTTTCAAGCTTACTTGTTTCATGGTGTTTCGTTATAATTTATAATACAAACTTCGAGACACTTTATGCAACAATCTCGCGAAAGTACATAAAAGTTCTTTCATGATAAGTGTTCAGACACTCGCGTTTCATCATTTTGTAAGCGATATTCGAAATCGTTTTATAAATAATATTTCAAATCTTGGACTCATTTTTTTTTTTTCAAACGATTTTCAGATTCCATCTTTTTTAATTATTTTCCCCAACAACCTCATATTTTTTGAATATCTTGACATTCTTAGGAAAACGAATATTCGACACGAAATACGAAATGTAAAATTTACGTCGAAGTATTGCGGATTTACTTTTTCTTTCTTCAGATTTGCACTTGTAACTTGAAATGCAAACAAAACACTTCAGGACTTTTATACTTATAAAATCGTGTCACTCAAATCTGCGCATATTCTTGCAATGAAACATTGTTATCACGTGTGTAATTCGATAAGTCTTTCTCGTGAAGTTTTCTCGATTGTGCAGTTTTAGAAAAGTAAGTGTCATAAGTTTTTCAATTTTAGGCAGGTAGGACAGGCTACATATATTTATCGAGAAAGAAATACGTATTTTAAGCAAAGATAAATAACGTTGTATATACGAAATTGTACGCAAACGTACGTTTGAAACCGGTC